AGGTGTATATGACTTTCTCCTTTCAGACGAATCCAGTTGGTGTTATATTAAAATTTTTCTTTGATTTTCCAAGCTGTTTAATGGCAGTCAGCGTGTGATGCAGTTCATCAGTCCAAAAGAAGTTAAATTAAGTGCATCCATCCATAATAAAAAAGTGCCTCACACGGCTACGGGGGGGTTGAACAAAGGCCTCCTGTAGCGAATCGATGTGTTTTTGTAAGAAAAATAACCATATTTAAAACGTAATTATCACTTTAATCTAGCTTGCGCTTACTGTTGTACATGGAAGCAGCTCCAGGCGGATGACGTAAGATGTCGGCATTGCGCATGCGCCGCTCAGAAGTGACGAACGCGGAAGCGCAAGGGAGAGATCAAAACAAAACAACGGTCACGAATTAGGCTAAGTTCACACTACATGACTTTAAACGTCGGCAGATCGCTGTGCTGTTCAGACTACATGACTTGATTGTCTGTCTTTAAGTCATTGTGGTGTTCACACTACGTGACTCTAGTAAATGATCCGCAACCGGGGGTTACACACTACACAAGCTGACAACAACTCTGTCACCCAACGACTCTACAAACCACGTTTTGTCACAAAAACACACGCGAGAATTGGAACGGGAATGACACAAAACAATATGTGAAACAGGAGTTGTTTATTTTATAATGGATGTTGGGAAGAAATTAGCGCTGCAAGCTGTTTGCTCGATTAAAAATGTTTCTCCATTTATTGTGTCCAAACTTTTCTTTAAGCCATGTTGCTGCTGTTGTTTTTCTTCCAGTGACCGCAACCCATTCCTTGCTCTCTCATTGGCTGTAGCTCATCGCGACACCTGACACCACGTGATGTCGAGTCAGCCGACCGGTCCAGATATTTGGCATGCTAGATATTTGTTTGCCTTCGACGAGGTGTCGGCGACGCATCAGCGAGCCTCTTTGATGCGTCGTTGTGTAGTTCACACATAAAGATTGCCGAGCGCCGATCACCCGCTGATTTTCCCCGATCACAGCCCGACCTGTCGGCAAGCTCGTTAACTTGCAAATCGGACTGGATTTGTAAAGAAGAATGAAAGTGAAAAAGTGAAAGTGACGTGACATGTGGCCAAGTATGGTTACCCATACTAGGAATTAG